ATGATCCTTCTACTCTTTTACACTTACTTTGTCTACTATAATTTACAGACGGCAGTTTCTTCAAAAGAAATACAGAATTCTGGGGAGATTCCTGAGATGTTGGTCAGTTACCAAAATGAAGTTACAGCGGAAGATGTGGAGAGGCCGGGAATTGTCTCAGGTTGGTCTCCATCAGGCATCTCCTGGAGTAGTGGAACATCTAGGGAGAACTGCAAGGCACCTGACATGGAGCAGAGTTTTGAAAGCTTACAACCTCTGGAAGAGTACATGGCTTTAAATGAAGTCTTAGGGAAATTAAAACATACTAGCAGAAAGCAGCATGCACAAATCCAAGACCTCCAGTGCAGTAACCTGAATTTAGAGAAGAAGGTTAAAGAACTACAAATGAAGATTACCAAACAGCAAGTATTCATTGACATCGTAAATAAGCTAAAGGAGACTGCTGAAGAATTAACTGAAGACAAACACAGAGTAATCCTTGAGAAGAATGATATTGAAAAGACATTGCAGAATTTGCAAGAGATTTTAGCTAACACCCAAAAACATCTTCAGGAATCTAGAAATGAGAAGCAAGCCTTACAGCTTGAATTTAAGAAGACAAAGGCCAAGTATATGCATTTACAGGAAAGGTTCATGACTGAAATGCAACAAAAAAATAAATCTGTGAGTGAGTGCTTAGAGATGGGCAAAACCTTAAGCAAGAAAGAAGAAGAGATAGAGAGGCTGCACCGACTCAAAAGAAAATTGGAAAGGGCCACAGCTTCTGCTTTGGACATGTTGAAAAGAGAAAAAGAGACCCGAGAACAAGAGTTCTTGTTTTTACAGGAGGAATTCCAGAAACGTGAAAAGGAAAGCCTGGAAGAAAGAAAGAAACTGAAATCTAGACATGAGAAATTGCTCTCTGCAGTTAAATATTTGCAATTTGTATCTGAAAATGAAAAGGCTAAGAATGCAAAACTTCGGCAGCACATCATTGAAGTAGAAAATGAAAATGCAAAACTTAAGCAGCAGGTTGCAAGAAGTGAGGAGCAAAGTCGTGTCCCTAAATTTGAGGGAGCTCAGTTAAAGGA